GGCTTGTCCATAACCACCAATGGTGCAGATTCTGCAACAGGAATTTAAGTGTCTCTGGTTACCAGTCTCACCTACTATTGCAATTCCGATGCTCCTAATCAGCAATTGTGTTAAAAATGTAGGAGCCGGAATAGAATCTAGCTCGTTTCCCCTTAGATACAGTACCTTTGCCATGCTAAGAGGAGGAAAATTTTACCTGTTAAGTCAGCAGAGATAACTATGAATATACTTAGGGGGCAAACGCATCTCCAGTATAACTCCACTGACTTCAGCAGTTACACCAGAGATGATTTTGGCCTACAGGACAGAACCCTTGGGAAAGAAGATCTGCCTATTAGCTAAACTATTTATTAATAGTAGGCTTTTATACTGCACCCATCGCTGTGGTATGTGAGTGTTTAATACATTAAGCTATAAGCAAATATGGAAAGAGAGTTATTATGTCCCAAGAAACTGGGAGAGCCTTCAATCAAAACCCTAAGGCTTGATAATGTAATATACAAGTATGACCTTCATTGTTCATGTCCGGAATTTTTAAAGAGGCATAAGAGACAAAAATCTCTTTAAAAATCTCAGCCCATGCACCTCCACACAGCATTGGCCAAAGCGTCCAGAAATCTTTTCCCCAGCATGCTCTTTGTTCAGTGTCAAGAGGAGGATCACCTGTTTTATTTTTCCAGAGTTCTGTGTTGTACTTAGATTGTAGGCGCTATCGGGCGTGGATCATCTTTGTGTTCTGTGCACAGAACCCAGACAAGTGGGGTCCTGGCCCTTGGTTGGGTGTGCTACTTGCTACCACAAATTATAACTCTAATAATCACAGTAATGGTCAGGAAATTTGGAGGTGAAGTCTCCAGACATTACAGGAACTACTGTGCATTCTCTCTCTCTCTCTCACACACACAAAATCTAAGCTGACCACATTTAAAATCCTCATCTGCCGGAGGAGACTCAGCGACCGGTTCTTACGTACACTAAGTCCCCTTTTTATATAAATTACTTTTACACCCACTTCAAGGTACCTTTGCCTAGCCGGAGCAGCATAAAAGGGTTTTCGTATAAATGAAAATCAGACCATCAGTATGAACATTAGTCTTGTCTGCAAATATTTGCCAAGCTTTTGGTCCCTTTATAACATCTGCTGACAAGAGAAACTCAGGAAGCTAAGTAGTTAAGGGTGGGTTTTTTTTTTTTTTAGCCACATCAAGGTTCTGCTAAGCTTCCCGGTGACGGTTAAGCTTGTTGGCCATCGAGCGCGTTTCTTTCGGCATCACAAGGAAATGTGAAACTGAGCAGAGATTAAAGCGCGGGTGGATTTTTAAAAAATGCAGGTCCTGGTTTACTGCAACCTGATGGAAATTCTCCAGCGCACTGGACTTTTTTTTTAGGTCAGTTTATTAAATATCTCAAGTATTCCACTTTTTTCTTTAAAGGAACCTTGCCCCATTATTCCGCACTGTTCACTAGAGCTATGCCAATTTACACCGGCACCGGATCCGCCCATCTGAAAGGCACGGTGGTCTGTCCTGCAGGAACATGCACTTGAGAGCCATAACGTTTTACTGTCTCTGATGAACGATCAAGAGCCTAAAGCTTCTTGCACCTGTGTCCTGGCTGGGTTAGTCAGTGGTTCTTCTCCTCCTTGTATGGTTCTCCCTTTGCTTTGCTTCTCCCCGGTCTCTGATGCACTGATGTTAGCATGTTGGGGGCCAGCGTCCCTTCTTGTCTTTGGTCTCCTCCTAGCAAGGCCAAGGACGGCTTTGTGGCAGGGCCCCCCTGATAATACAAGGATAGGAGGAAGTCCCACAATCTCAGTGGGGTTGCCTCCTCCCTGAAGGACAATCTTACCAGGCTCAATCATAGGTTTTGTGCAGGGCCCCAGACGTTCTCTCCTTCGCCCTGTCTCCACCTCGGGCCCCAGATCCACAGACTTGCTGGACTCCCTGCCCATCTTTTTACCAGAGCTGGGGGCTATTTTAAAAGTGATTCTGCTGATTACCCGACAGCTGCCTCCCTTCCCTGCTCACTACCTCCCTCCTGCTCCTCAGCTCTGCCACTGTGATTTGGCGGGTGTCTTAGTCTATGGAGAGGATGGGAGGATGGGCGACCATCAGCTGAGGGGCTTTCCAGAGCACCTCCAGCTGGGCGAAAGAAGAAATTACAAGGAAGGCAGGTACGTTAGAGCAGGACAGCACTGGAAACGGGGCCTGTCCTGCTAAAATCTTGCTGGTCTTTTCCTTTTCCTCTTCATCTCACAACGCAGCGCTCCTCAAGCCAGACAGTTAAGGCTGACTCTAGGCAGATGGGGGAGGGATAGCTCAGTGGTTTGAGCATTGGCCTGCTAAATCCAGGGTTGTGAGTTCAATCCTTGAGGGGGACCATTTAGGGAACTGGGGTAAAAATCTGTCTGGAGATTGGTCTGACTTTGAGCAGCAGGTTAGATTACATGACCTCCTGAGATCCCTTCCAATGCTGATCATCTATGATTCTATGTGCCCTAGGCACTAACTCCAGGAATGCAAGGCACAGGTCCTGGTGTGGTCCTACACCCCACATATGGCTGGGCCAGCCCTGCACCCCAGTTTTCATTAGCCACCCTGCAAGCCTAGACAACATCTCAAAGAATGCCTGAATGTATTGCAAGCAACACAGTGACAATTCAGCATTGTGGTATCAACATCTGGTGCCTGTTTTGTGATGACACAAGCATGGGGGATAAGCATAGGCTACGTTTTCTGGCGTCCCTTCAGACGAGCATTGTGAAACAGACCCAATAATTCCAACAAGCCACCTAAGTTCTGAGACAAACCTAAAGCCGGATTATCCTGATCAAGCCCCTTTCTTTGCTCTGTGGCGTGGGTGCAAACCTAGAGCAAATGAGCATTTGCAACACGGGACACGACTTCAGATGACGCTTCCAGCTGGGATCATCCGAAGATGCCCTCAAGACAACTGGAACAACGGGGGGAGGATTCACCAAAGTATTTAGGCACCTAACTCCCACTGCAATACCTTAGTGACATCCCCAGGGTGCCAGACTCCCTTAAACTCTTTTGAAAATCCCAGCCACGGTGCATTTCGTCATCACCTCCTTCAGAAAAAAAAACCAGGCGTTCTTGCCCCCATCCATCCTTCTGTCTGGTACAGAGATAATGCAAACCCAGGCCTTGCTAGCGGGTGCAGAGCTGCCCAGAGGCCTTCAAAGCATGACCCCCTTTAGCTCCTGCCTGGAGAGGGTACATTGCTGCCAGCGACCCATCGCCAGCAATCTTGTCTCCCTCTTTGGCACAGTCACCCACAATCACCCACATGAGCTGCTAGGAAGCAGGCCTCCCAGCAAACTATAAATACTCTGCTAAGGAAAAAAAAAAAAACAAACCCACATATCACCTGTAAATCTCCAGACGTGTTGAGTGAGACAGTGAAAAGAGGCATTAAATTAAACCAGAAAATGTATGTGTCGCTGCAGATGAGGGCAAGCCTGTCTGTCAGTCAGTCTGCTGGGTGTCTCTAGCCTTTACAAATGTTTGCCGTGGATGTCTCCTAACAGCTTTTAATTCAGAAATGGAAATGAGGCAATGGGTTCTGATTTTAAATGCCTCCGGTCTTTCAAAAGGGCGAAATCACTTTTCCCCGCACTCCTTGCTGTGTGTGTGTGTGTGTGTGTACACACCATCTTTCCGATTTTTTTTTTTTAAACAACGCACAAGACATTTCAGAGGTGAAACTGACCAGCTGGCACTTGATTTATGAAGTGCTGAAAAACATCTCTGGAGCTGTCACTTATCTTAAAGCTCTCTGCCTAAATAAACAAAGAGCCCCTCCCTAATTATAGTTACAGAAAGAAATACACCCCAGAGCCTAATAGCCAACGCGTCCTCTGGACAGCCAGCCCACAGCTGCACCCTAGTGGATCCACACTTGCAGCCCAGGAAGATCCTGCCAACCCAGACCTTTCCTCCACCCGCCCGAAAGAAAATCAAATCAAATCAAAAAGCAGTGGAGACATCTCAGTCGTTCTGAGGAATTGCAGAATAAAGCATGATTCAAATGCTGGCAAAGAAACTTTGCCCTGTCACTTTCATTGTCTCCTAGCCAAACAGCTTGGTTATTGGGTTTTTTTCTGTCCCCAGGACCTTTGTTAATTTTGCCGCTGTTTCTTTTTTCGTTGCCCCTACTCTGGCCTCTTCTGACCTGGGGGAATTTCTGCTTCTATTTAGCACGAGTGCTATAAAAGTACAGAAGAAACTGAGTCTATCCTGATGGCTGGTTGTTCCTTAGGGCTTGGGGTGTTTTTTAAAATAATTAAATAGCTCCTGTAGTGTTGGGGTGAAAATCCACTCTAGAGGAATTCTACCAGCGATGCAGGAATAAATGGGATAAGACGAGACGAAGGCAGCAGCCTCGGTCAGTGAGAGAACAGCTCTTTCTAGAGTGGCCTTAATAAGAACCCTTTAAGATACATACAACTGAAGCAAATCTTCCAACATTTCTTCTGGGCCTGATTCTCCTCTGGCTTCTACCATCCTAAATCAGGGAAAACTCCACTGAAATAAGTAGGCCAGGTCCTCACCTGGTGCCAATTGTCATAGCTCCATTGACGTATCATGGAGTCATAGATTATGAATCCAGAAGGGTCCGTTGTACTCATCTAGTCAGACTACCTGCATAACATAGGACCGCTCTGAATTGATTTCAGGGAAGCATACTGGAGTTTAGCCTATAGCCTCAGGGCCTCCCCTACAAACTCACAACCTTTGACCAGCCCTTTTCCATGTGAAGCTGATATGTCTCTAACAACATCTTATATGGTGCTTTTCACTCATAGATCTCCAAGTGCTCTACAGAAGAGGTCAGTACTATTATCTCCATTTTACAGATGGGGAAACTGAGGCACAGAGAGGGGCATTGACTTGCCTAAAGTCACCTGACAGGCCAGAGCCAGGAATAGAACCCACATTTTCTGGGTTTCAGGCCAGTGTGCAAACCCAATAGGACACACTGGCTTTCAATAAGGCTGCCTGGGGAAGTGAAAAACCTGCTAGACAAATACCGGAAGAGCTGAAATCACTCAGTAACAAAGTCCGATAATTCTGTAACAACCTGAGCATTTTGGGAGTCTCCTGGCTGCTTTGGATGGCCACAAGAGACAACACCATGTGCTTTGTAGAAAACTGGAACCTTCTCCCATGCATAGAGGGATGACATATACTTTTAATTGTGATTTTTGTAGTTACTTATTTGTATCATAATGTTGCTTAAAGTCCCTAATCAGATTCAGGGCCTTGTTGTGCCCTACAAGACCCAGAGGACCCTAACACCATTTGCACATGGTATTCCACTGGACAATGTGCATTAAAACAATGGGACTGGAGATTTTCTGCACTGTTGCTATCTGACCTGATTGGAACCAGGGCCCCGAATGGGTAGGCCCTGGTTGGTTCAGGAGACTGGTAGTGAGATAAAGAAGGCCAGTCAGAAGATTTTCCCCCTCTGGGACATTGATTCAAGTCGATCCAGATTGGTAGGGAGTCCAAGTGATGACCATCTGACCCGTGTCAGATGAAACGAACCAGTGGTCTTAATCCCGTACATTGTCAGCAATGCTCATCTTTGCCGACAAACTCAGCAGAGAGGCCAAGGATAGAACAGCTCCTGGAGGCTACTCTTTCACCCAGGGCTGAGGGTGAGGTCTCTCTCCACGTCATAGTTGGAGTGGATTGGCAGGGTAATATAAGCAAGCGTACGTTGCCATTAAACTGCAGTTTTTCCGTGGTTGAGTAAAAATCTTCAGTCTCCAGTGCTGGGAATCCAGCCTTTTTCCTGGGAAGTAACTGCACCATTAAACTATTTAAAAAAAGAAAAAAAAAAGATGGATCATGCCCTGGAACCATTCTTCAATGAGAGCCTTACCACCGGACTGAATGATAGATAAACAGATCCATTACCTTAGAAGATACATGCAGGCTGGAGAATTGCCCCTAGATATTGTATAATGATAGCTATATGCCATCTTTTCCCGAGGCAGAAATACTGTGGTCTAGCAAACCTGTATTTCAGGTGTAAACTATCTGATAGCATCACTGGAATCTCTCCGTGCATCCCCATGCTCTCCTGTTACTGCTTAGTTTGAAAACACTCTTATCCAAGCCTTCATGGTCTGCTTTTAGGGCCAATCAGAAGATTTCTCTCCTCCCCCAGAAACACACACACCAACCTCCCACCCTGTAATCTCACTTTCTCCAAACTGTATGAGTTTCAGCTCTTTGGTCTATCAACATTGCTAAGATCTTTCAGGCCTTTGATCAATTTATAGCTTCTTTGTACCTTCTCCAGAATTTGTAAATCAGATAACTCAGAATCCAACCGATAAGTGAGTGAGACCAGATGAGCCAGACTCACCAAGAAAGCACGAGAGACAGTCTTAGGGATCCCACATGCATGGAATCTGGAGGTCTGGCTGCATCAGAAGATAACCGGTGGGTTTGATTTGTTTGTTTATTTGAGCAAGAATTTTTTGTTCAGTGAAAATACTTGGATGAGCCACAATTGTATGTGTGTTTGAGGGATGGGGACAAAGGGTATTTCATGGATGTGGTGTATTTAAACCGTGTTAAAATTATAGGCTGTCATTTTCAATTTCAGGGTTTTTTCCTGGTTCTGCTTGAAGGTGAGGGGACTCTATAGGGAAGTGTGCAATCTGGGCCTAGCAGCAGTCAATGTACAGACTGTCAGCTTAGAGTAGAGTAGAGTGAGTTGTGCCTCTCTGTTTTAGGGAGCAGCCTGCTTTGTTTCTCTCTGGTATGGGGTTCTTGTGGTATCATTCTGAATTCTAAGAAAGAAAGTCACATTACATTGCAACCTTCCAGAAGAAGTATTTATGTTTTTATCTAACTTCTCTGTGTGCATGGCGCAAACATCATAACGGAGATGGAATAAATTCACACCGCTGCAGAATTTAGGGGATCTTGTTGTGGAATTTGGTCCCGTGGTGCTGTGGGAGAAAGAAAGAAAGTCATTGAATTCTGCAGAAGCTATTCTGCGCTTTTTTGATTGCTTCTTCCAGTAGTTGTTCACAGTCAAGTCTAGTCTACTTATTGTCGCTTAGGGGAGAGGAACGGACTGCTTCTCTTCATCCAGTTAAACAATGGTAGAAACTGCCATAGGGTGACCAGATGTCCTGACTTTATAGGGACAGTCCTGATTTTTGGAGCTTTTTCTTACATAGGTACCTATTACCCCCAACCGCCTGTCCTGCTTCTTCACACTCGCTATCTGGTCACCCTAAACTGCTGCCAGCTGAAATCTGTGTCTGGTTTCTCCTCCAGTTGTGAGCCATCTATAGTTATGACCAGGGCTGCCCAGAGAGGAGGACAAAATTGGCCATTTGCCCCAGGCCTCCCATTTGAGAGGGCCCCCCAACTGAGTGGCATTGCGACCTGATGAGCAGGGTTATGCTACCCACGTTTGGCCTGGCCACCCCTCTGTCATGATGGAGGGGCTGCCAGGCCAAATGTGAATGTTGCTGTAACCCCGCACACCTGGTTGCAACACTTGGCGTAGGGAATAGAGCCCATTCCCATGGGACAAAAGCCACCACTGAAGGGTGAGTGTGGGTGTCCATCCCCCGGTCCTTGCAGGGTCTCCCGTCTGTGGTATTTTTGGAGGGGAGGGGCTCAGTTTCAGATTTTTCCCAGGTCATCACTGATTTTGTATCTGCAATACATTGATAGCACTGAGGGAGAGCATTTAAAAGAGAACTGGATACATTCATGGTGGTTAAGTCCATTAATGGCTATTTGCCAGGATGGGTAAGGAATGGTGTCCCTAGCCTCTGTTTGTCAGAGGATGGAGATGGATAGCAGGAGAGAGATCACTTGATCAGTGCCTGTTAGGTCCACTCCCTCTGGGGCACCTGTCATTGGCCACTGTCGGTAGACAGGATACTGGGCTAGATGGACCTTTGGTCTGACCCGGTACGGCTGTTCTTATGTTCTTAACTCTGCAAGTCAGAGAAAGCTGATGTCCAGGCTGCCATCCAATGACAGTGAAAGTAGTTCAGACAAGGAGGGGAAGCTCGCTGCTCCCCATGGCCACGGGGATGGGTCTTGAAGTCACGTGGGGATGCGGTGTCAGGTCATCTTCTGGTGGTGGGATGAGCCATGGCGGAGGGCATGGGGATATGAGAAGAGATGTTTCTGAGAGGAACCCCTGTAGGGCCTGAGGCAGCCAAGCCAGAGTGTGTGGGCACATGCTGTGCATTGGGAAGGGTCACTCCCATTTAGCTCTCATGGTCTCCCCTTCACCCCTCCTAAATTCACTCTCCCACATAAGTGTGGGAAGTAGGGGTGCGGGGGGGGGGGAAGAGTACTGCAGCACCTCCAGGTTTTATGCGGGGCCACTTGGCCCCACACCCAGGGCTCCACTCCCTGGCGCGGGTCCCAGGGGCTAGCTCCACTCCCCAGCCACTGGCTCACCCCCAGGACCCAACCCCCAGCCCCACAGCTGGGGCTGTGCTCCTGGCCCCACACATGGGGTCCCAGCTGCCAGCTCCTGCCCAGGGATTCACTCCTGGCCCCACGGTGTGGCCACAGCCTCGGCCCCCTTACCCCTGCCTGGGTCCCCCCCCTCCTGGAGACACAGCCCTGTGCCCAGCCTCAGCTCTGGGGGAGCGGGGGCTGGACAGGGGTAAGGGGGCTGGCTTTCAGCACCCCCACTACTAAAAATGTTCCAGCGCCACTGCTCTCCCCAACCCCCACCCACAGAATGCCAAGAGGAGAGAAGGAGGTGACAAGGCCATTCTGTTGCCCCACACACGGCAAGCTGACATGTGGGAGGGTCTCCTCTTCTCTTCACTTCTTCCCTTGGAGCCTCCAAGGGCCTCCTTTTTTCCCACGGAGGGAAGGGAGGGCAGGCAAGAGGGAAAATCTTCAGATAAGGGACCCCCATCAGATGCTGATGATGATCTGCAGACTGGCAGGAAAGCCAGTCTCTGGACAACCTAATGAGCACAGCTGGGCTGTAGTAGGCTGCCTGGTTGGCTACACAACCTGATTGTTTGGAAGGGTCAGCAGCCCAGCTGTTAAGACCAGCAGCGGCAGTCCCGTGGCTATGCCTGCTTGTTTCCAGCCCTGCTCCTGCCTTCGACCCAGCCTTGCTTCACTCTGGATTTCCTGGTTTTCACCCTCAACTCTGATTCCTGACCACCTGACTCCAGCTCTGACCCTTGGCTCTGGTATCTGGCCTCTAACTCCAGTCCAGCCCCTGGGCTTCTGACTCCTGACTCTGGTTCTTGTCCCATGGTTCAGGCACCTGGACTCTGATTTCTGGCTATTGACGCCTGCTCTGACCACTAGGCCTGACTGCCCATGCCACGGTCACTGATAATAAGACTAACTTTCAGGAGACTGTCTGGCCAAGCGTCGGCATCTCCTGCTGTTCCTTTACTTGATGAATCCTCACATCACCAGGTGGAGAGGAGGTGGGAGAAGAGCAATGGCGTACTGGTAAAAAAAAAAAAAGAAGTGGGTAAACCAATCTCAACTAAACTCTATATTCCCCAAATGAGAAGTGGGTAAACTCAGTTCACTTGAGCTTACCCTTGACTATACTATGGGAGAAGAGGGATCAGTGCTCCCACAAACCAGGGAGAGAGAAAAGGAGATGGGGAAAATGTCCCTCGGTTTTTAGCCAAAGAGTGGGTACCATGCTCCCAATCCTCTCTCTCACTTTAACACCTGATGTTTAGCAAGGATGGAAAATGTGGAGACTACAAACTCTGGGCCAGATTCTTTACTGCCTCACGCCTTGCGCGATCATTTAGCCTTGTGAAGAATAAGAATATAAGAATGGCCAGAGTGGGTCAAACCAATGGTCCATCTAACCCAGCATCCTGTCTTCTGACAGTGGCTGGTGCCAGATGCTTCAGAGGGAATGAACAGAACAGGGCAATTTAATGGAGTGATCCATCCACTGTCATCCAGTCCCAGCTTCCGGCAGTCAGAGGCTTAGGGCCACCCAGAGTATGGGGTTGTGTCCCGACCATCTTGGCTAATCGCCATTGATGGACTTTA